TTGGCCAACACTCTCCTCCTGTTCTCATCATCCTCCTCCTCCTCCTCGAATCTCAAATTGCCCTGAGTGATTTCCTTTCCAAAGATCAATTCATCAGCTCTGGCCCTGTACTTTCGGTCCCAGATGGGTTGCTGCTGCTGCTGGGCGTGAGCATCGGTGTCTGAAATATTGGGAATTTCGTAATGGGAACTATCGAAAACTGAATCTGGATCATTTTCCGACTCCGGGTAGGTTGTCGGTTGCGTCACCTCCTCTTGCTCTGGTTCAGCAGAGTAAAACCTGCGCAGGAAGGAAGGCTTAAGGGCACAGAGATTGTTGTGTGGAGTGGAAGAGACAGTCCTGAGTGTTCTCAGAGATCTTAGAGCTTTCATGGTGGCCCCTATAAAGGAAACATGGAGGCAGAAGCGTCCGTAGTCTATGCGTTGTTTTTGGGGTGTTTCGCTGCTGAACGAGGCTTTGGGCTTAGGGGTTAAGGGTTGCAGACAAGCTGCCTCTCGATTTTCTTTCATTATAACAGCGGCAGTCCCGGTCACTTCATAGTTAGTCTTGCCTCAACGTTACGGGCATGCAGTGAATAACGGAATTCCATGGACGGCTATAAATAAAAAAATATATATAATCATCTAATGCTTCTATCAATTTTGTATTTCATACATAGATCCTATCTTATTCTAAAATATCTCGTATTTTAAAATATTATGTTGACATCTATATTAATATAAACAAAATCATTACTCAAATTTTTTTTATTTGAAAAATGTAATGGATTTTTTGAGGCCGCTAATGTACATTTTTCATGAACCTAGTTTCATTTTATTTTTTTTGAATTGGAATAGTAAAAGAGGAAGAAAAATGTCTGACAAGCGGTAAAAGATTGAGCCGAAATAAATAGATCGGACCCTACAATTTTTAACCCTCAGGCTGAAACACAAAAGGGAACGACTATTTACACACAGTAACAGGCATGGTAAACAAACTCACATAGCCTGGCTTATATTTTAGTCGTCTCGGATGTCCAATCCCCACGTCCCAATCCCATCATCTAAAAGTGTCCACAAATGTCTGATAAAATGGAGCCCAATTAGAGCCATGTCGATGGCTCGGGTGAAAAACCTCTTCTGCGAAGCCGAAGAACAGGTCTTGGTGACATTTTGCGTTTGTTTGTCATCATTTTTCGCTCAGAGTTAAGTGGAGAAGAGAGAAATTTTTTTTAATAAACTCTGTTTACAAAAATCAAAAAATGGGATTAAATTTTTTTGATTAATTTTAATTACTCTTTTATTCTACATCTTCTTTTTATCAAAATTTGCCCTTCATTTTTTTTCCCCAACGGAGCCATCTCGGTGAAAAACCTCTTCCGCGAAGAACAGGCTTCGGTGATATTTTTGCATTCGTTCATCATCATTTTTCGCTCAGAGTCAAGTGTGTGGTAAAGCGGAGAATGAGAATGAGGCAGGGGAATAATGCTGCATATTAGTGACATCCAAGAATCGTACACCTTCAAATTTGGTCATTACGTCCAGCCACATACAAACTACCGAAACCACAAACAAACAAATTGATATTTCCAAACTCAATTACACCACATTTTTAGCCATTTGTCCTAAAAGTTATCTTTTTTCCTATGCCTAGAGAAAAACAGAAAAAATAGATTAAAAGACCACTGGATTTTTGCAACTTCCTATGAGATCCCATTTTAACTTAACTAACCCCGCCACTCCCCAGATAGAAGCCTCCGCATCATTTTTCTGCCAAGAATAGCGCCGCTAGGTTGGTCGATAGAAAACTCCATGCAAAGAATGATGAAACTGCATCAGAATCTTGGGACAAAATACACTAAAATTCTAACGGCCATCAACAGTGGACAAATTTGACAATACAAGGTTCAAATTGTCCTAAAAAGCCATTCGACCTGCTAGCCTGCTTTCAAGTATCCTCTTGTCTATGGCTGCGTCAATCGAGCTCATCTGAAAAATAATCGCAAGAATGATCAGCACATACTCAGACTGCTGATCACTACAACAAAAACCAAATATATAACAGCCTGGGCCTATGCACGAGATTCCAAACTCTGCGAAAGAAGCTGACCTGGCCAAGTCTGAATTCACTTGTTCCATAAAATAAATTGTAATGATGCTACGGATGAGCGAAAATCGGGTGTGTAAGATCTTATTCATCCCAAAACCGGATTCTTGGAAATTGAGCATAGGGAGAAGGAATAACAATAGTAAAACCCAGCCTTAAAAAAGTATATATACGTACTCTTCTACTACAAAAGCGGGGTGACGGGAATTGGTTGTTTGCAGCATACTTCACATATTATACCACAAGAATTGACTATGGAAGAGAAATTAGCAACAAGTACGTACTTGAATCTTTTGATGCTCACAAATTCAGGAGGCATAGCTTGCAGCCAAAATGGCAGTTAAAAATAAAACAGAATGCACTACTCGTTATTATTTAGGTTGAGACAAAAGACGGGAAAAAAATTAAAATGTCATTCAACTTCCTTTTTAGAAAGAGGAGTAAATAAAATATCATACAGAATGTACCTCTATCAATAGCAAACAATGCGTAAACAACTGAATCTGAAAATAAGCATAAAGCCTACCCATCTGGTTAGATGTGAAAGCAACTCCTTCTATTAAAGAGGTAGTATGACTTACCTGGCTAGTTTCATCATGCACCTGGTATTTTGGTAAGGACATTCTTCTTTCCTCCTGCAGATATGAAAGTAAAATAACACCACTTAACAAATTTAACAGTATTCTCATACCAAACAAATATGTTACTCTAGGAGATAACGCACCATGGACATTGCCTCGTCATCCCAAACTAAATAGACCTCATTAGTGGCAGGTTGAGTTGCAGGAGCTTTGTTTGCAATTACTGGGGGTGGTCCAATTGAAGGACCACCAGTATTTGGACCAGAAGCATAAGAATGCGAGTTGTTTGATATACCTCCTGCAGTAACCAAAATAGGTCAAATTAAAATCACTACAATGTATAAAACCAACCCAACGATGTTATAACGTCCTTCCTACAGTCAACAGGGAGAAAAATGAATAAAGCATACAAGCTCAGCTCAATGACAAAAACAATAGTGACATTTGGAAGCAAGCTTTAGTATCTAATCCTTCACAATACCATGTTATAGTACTGGACAGAATTAAGTTTAAACCAGTAGGGGGAGTAACACTACACACAAATAGCTATTAGCAGTATTTCCTGTGTCTTAGGAACAAACAAGTAGTCACTTTGGTGTGAACAAATTTAGATGCATTGCATGTCTCACCATTCACGAGTTATAAGCAGTAAAAATCATAAGCAAGAGAGGCTAATTCAACGCATACATCAGAAAAAAGAGGCACGACACTTGTGACGTAAGCCTGACACAATACAGTAGAAGTGATTACTTTCCACTTAAATTACATAGAAAATATAGGCAAAGCTGAAATTTAATAAAAAGACCAACTATTCGTGTAATGTGCGCTAGCATAGAAAATACAATATGACATCTTGTCCTACGATTATTACCCACTGATATGGGGGCATGCGATTGTAAACGAAAGTTTGGAATACAAGAAGAAGCCTTATCCCATCAAGTGAGGAAAATGGAAATTTGGAATATTGATATTTGAAGACAAGTGCTTTTTTAATAAAAAGGAGCTGGCATGCAAACTGAAATATTCATGAATTGTTTTAACTTTTAAGTAAAAAAAAAAAATCAACATTTGAGTACCTGGAACCCCTAGTACTTGATAATTATTTGTCAAAGTTGTGTTGGCACTTGAATAAGCATCAGCAGGGACACTTGGAGGCAATGCAGATGGAGCACTGCTAGGGAGCGATGGAGCAGAAAATGTTGAACTTTGGGCCATCGTATGGTTATTTCCAACAACAGGAAACAAAGGCTGTGAAACTGGAGCAGATGTTGGAGGCAAACCAGGAGGAGCAACTTGAGAAGTTGGAAGGACAGGAGAAGCGGTTGATGGTAAAGGTGGCCTCACATTCTGAACAGGAAATAATGGCTGCTGTACATATGGGGCAGAAGGAGGAATGGAAACAGATGGAGGTTGTGGGTACCAAGGCTGAGGTCGAGGTGGAACTGGCCAAGTGGCCGGCGGCACAGGTACTGCAGGATTATAACTGATTACCAAGAGACGACAAAACAATAAGCTAATTATCCTTGTGCCACTTGGAACATAAGTGAATGACTATCACTTTCTTTACATGCCAAATACAACATTAATGAAACCAAGGGAAGTTAGATATACAATTAGGAAACATACATAGGTGGCATAGTACCCAAGGTTGACTGAGGAGGATATCCCACTCCTAATGGTGCTGGGACGACTCCACCTACAAGCTGAGTTGATGGGATATCTACTTTGGCTGTTTTTGATGGAGCTTCATCCTCTGCATTCAATAGAAATTTATCAGAAAGCAATTCAAATTTAAATGTTTTGCCTATGCAAGTATTTCAGTCTTGCTACAAATGTTGCATGTATCATGCATAACAAGTGCTTCTACAACGAATTAATTATCAGATAGAACCAAATCCAACAAGGATAATAAGTTGCAAAAAAGGGTCTACATGCTAAAGCGTTCATTCCATAACCTCCTAGCAAATACCAAACGAGCCTATAGACCAGCAAATACAAACATTCTTTAATTATATATATAAACAGTTTTGAATGATGCAAGTGGACGTAACAACTCGTTCAAGGCCGTTATCAAGAGAACGTAAAATCAACTTGACAGCAGAGAGAAAATGCATTTTTCTTCTTCTTGCCAACCTTCAATACCAAATACAAATGTTTTCACTGACACTCTACCTGTACCAATCAACTTTCACCCAAAATAACACGAAAAGGGGACAAATCTATTTTTCAAACAACACTAAGACAACATTGTAGATCACCATTCAGAGAAAGGAAAAAAAAAAAAAACGTTGAAAACTTTTTTCTTTGAGATAACATTGTAAAACTCATCAATTAGATGTAGAGACTTGTTCGAGGCCACAATCAAAACAACACAATCAATTTGACAGGCACGGAGAGTCTCCATGTGTTGTTTTCACCAATCTTCAATACAAAACACGCCATAATTGTTCACTGACACTTTTGCTCTGCTAATTGGCTTTTCCGCAAAATAAAATAACAATCAAAGTCAGGCCACGAGATGTAGTGACTTGTTTGAGGCCAAATCAGAACAAGTTGAAATCAATTGGACAGGCAAGGAGAATTGTCATGTATATTCTCGCCAATCTTCAAGGCAGTGTATGCCATCTGTTCTCTTATTGACATTCTCGCTCCACTAATTAGCTTTCTCCAGAAAATACCACGCATAAAAACACAGGCCATGATACTCACACTAGAGGAAACATTAATATAACCTTTAGGACACAATGCCCAAATCAGATACATCACAATTACACAAGCTGGCAAAATGAAACCCATATAAGCCAGTTCATTAACTGAATTCCACTGGTCCTCTGGCATCAGCATCCACCCAACATTAGCTAAATTAAGCTATCATCTCTCTATCCATTGCACTTCCCCCAATAATAAAAACAACAGTCAATCAAACATTAACTATATGAAACAGTAATATAAAACTTTTTTTTTTTTGCAGCGTCACGTTGTGAAATAGCAGGTCTGCTTTCCCAGTAAAAGCAGATTGCAATTAAAAGATTCGAAAGTTCTGAATAACGCACACACACACACACACACAGATGGATGATTACCTTCATCTCCATAATGAGCGGCCAAGACGTCTGGTGGAATCCCTTGCATCCCATATATTTCAATATCTGTTGACTCTCTACCAGGTTTTGCATTGGGCACCCTGAAAAGTAAACGAACGAGAAAAAACAACATAAACTGGAAGAAACGAAGCATCTCTAGGGAATATCACAAATGCAGGAACAAGATAAAGTTCTTAATTTGGGAATATCATATAACAAATAGTATTAAATTACTCATGCCTCATATAGAAATTTTTTGTTTCAACCCCTTTGACGAAGAAAGATCAGAGAAGGAAGAAGAGTAGAATTGTCAGATTAATTAGAAAGAGAATCATTCTTTGTAAATGGGGCATGAAAACCAAAATATGCAGTTTATCTGTCTAAGCAGGAGTTACATTCGCAGCGCATGGTTCTCTTGCCCACGAACAGATTCCAATTTTTACAATTCTTGATTTGAAAAATCAAAGATTCGCAATTATTGTCGAACATTCTCCTTCCTTATGACTTCACCAAGCTAAGATAACTGTTTTCCCAGTACTCGCATCAAATTATTAGAACCTAAGGGTAGTTTTATTATTTGTCACGCGGCTCTAATGAAAATTCCTTAGCACAGGGGATCCTTAACATTACACATGATTAGATTATATCTAGCTAGACAATCCTAAATTCCAATCCAGCATTCAGCTTTCTTTTCTTTAAAGATCACATTCCATGACCGTCGCATGGAACATTGAACTGCAATAACCTCCTTTCCTTCTCAAACCAAGGAATTTAGACTCAACGGACTATCAGATCCGAAAACTGCTAATCGAGAAGACGAATCAGACAAAAGGGAGAGAGGAATAATGGGTGAGTAAGACATTAGAGCTTACTTGGTGACGTTTTCTTTATGAACCTGGAGCACGTGAATGGCCATGCCGCCAGCAGTGGAGAGTTTCTTGTGGCAGACATGGCATTTGAAGTGCTTAGCCTTCTGATGCTGAACCAAAATCTTCTCGTCATCGAACTCCCGATCGCAATAGTAACACCAGACCTTCGAAGAAACCCTCTTCTTCTTCTTCCCCATTCAGCCCAACAGCTCTATTATTCCCTCTTCTTCAATTCAAGCCCTGACCTCCTTCGCGCTCCCCTTTGTCTGATATTCTTGACTATATCAGGAATAGGGTTTAGACCAGATCTCGGCGCCTCAGGAGAAGGAGCTAGGGCTGCAATAGTTCTCCTGGATGGAAACGTTAACCTAGTAGGGCCTGGAGGAAAACTCTGTATCGCGCCCGCGCCAGCCCGCCGATTCTAGAACGTTTCAAGCAAGTAAACGACGATGACCTATTTATCTTTTTTTCAAAAAAATTTATATTATCTCCGTCTTTTATATAAAATCTTATTTAATTTTTATTTTAATCTTAAATATAATACTCTAATTTATTTTATCTCTCATATTTATATTTTTTTTAAGATAGTTCTTCTATCAATAATAATTTTAACCAATACACTTGATTAGCAAGAATATTTTAAAAAAGACAACATTTATTTATTATAAATAACTAACTTAACTTCTTTTTTAATTTCCTTAAATTAGTGAACTAGCTCTTATAATTAGCTATGATTATTTTAAATTAACTTTGTTGTTTAGTTGAACAACTAAATTTTAACCCCACTGGATATTTGTTGAATTTTTTTAAAAATTTTAATTAAATGAAAAATATTATTCTCTCCATGCGTTATTTCCTGCCTAGTTTATTTTGTTAGCATATTAATATACCCCATATATGCATGCTTTAATCTGGTCAAAAAAGGTAATTTAAACTGTAACATGCTTTACAATTTACGCATCTATTGACATTGACCTATTTAAAATAACTTATAAATAGCTTTTCAACTGTGATTTATGAAATGTAAGATAAATATATAAAAAAAATTTGATTTCAATTTACATAAAATATACTTATAAGTGTCTTTTTATCATTATCCCAAACGGGTTAATTGTTGTTCATTTTCTATGGGCCAGGATGAAAATTTGCATATCAGCCTGTAAGTTAAGTTTTGAACAGGGCACGTTTTAAACACAGCATTGAAGCCCATATCCTTGTTCGGTGAGACGCTTTTGTTTTCGGGAATGGGCCCAGGCCCATTACATACAGATATAAGTACCCGTCTTGGTAAGGACCCAGACTCCCTATCCATCTTAGCTCAAATGATGTAAGGGCATTTTCGTCAAAGAACTTCCAATCCCAGTATTGAAGTTGCAATGCCATTGGGGCGGGGGGGTGGTACTGCTTAATCCCATGAATATGGTTCTGGGCAGTCCCAGCTCTCAACACAGTCCTTCATAGCAAACATGTTAGTCGAGGCAATCTCAATTCCAATACCAATCCCAGCCTTCCAATCCCATGTGTCAAGCAGGGCTTTGGACTTAGGATTTGCATTGGGTGCTCATCACCTGATGAGCACCCAATGCTCATCACCCATCTGGACGGTCCAGATTTATTTTTATTTTTATTTTTATTTTTTTAAAAATAATTATTTTAATAGGTATAAGATAAAAAATAAAGATAATCTCATAACTATCATTTTTAAAAAATATAATTTTTTCTATTTTAAAATAATTATTTAATGATATTAAATCTAGACCGTCCACATTAAATCTGGACGGTCCAGATTGCTCATCAGGTGATGAGCATTGGGTGCTCATCACCTGATGAGCACCAAATGGGAACCCTTGGACTTACCAATGAACTGTGGGTCCAGGCCTAGAGTTTAAATCTTTTTTATGAAAGTACGTAAATATAAGATTTGTTTTATAGCGTAAGTTGTACTACAAAATTGTTCTTATATTTAGAACCAGAGTAGCAATATGAATTACTTTTTTGATTCTATTTTATAAAATATGTGATTAAATTTTTAATGTTAATATATTACTCCTCTGATCCCTAATATAAGACCTATTTAACTAATTTATTAGATTAAGAAAGTTTGGTAAGTTAGTTAATTATAAGAAATATATATGACCTGTTTTTCCTAAAACACCATAATCATCTTCCTTAATATCATGTCTACCTCTTCTATTTAGTTATTGTTGATAGAGTATCTATAGGGGTAATTTAAAAAATTTGATAAATATGTCTTATATTTATGATCAAAATAAACTTAACAATTAGGTTCTATATTAAAGAGCAGATGAGTATTTTATTCTTTATTTATTATGGTGTAAGTTGTTATTTTATTGGAAAATGTATATATTATACCGGGATACAACTGGAAAGTCGTGAAATTTTAAGATAAAATTAATGAGCTTTAATGTTTTTCTTGTTTTCAGTAAAACATGTTGAAAAGGGACTTGTCCATAAGATTAAAGGAATGTATGATAGTAACATATTAGTGACTATGATAATCCATTTGTGTGTTGGTAGAAAAGTGAGAAGTCAAATGTAATTATGTAAATGAAGAAATAGAGGGAGAAGGAATATATGATATCTGGGAACATGTGGACAGGAGAAGGGGGGTGGGGGGTGGGAGAAGTTAGAGATGTTGGGGAGCCACTTGGGGAAGTAAAAACAAGGAACATGTGTGGATCGGAGGCATATCGACCCACACAACCACACCACTCCAAATATGGTTGTCCCCAATGAGCCATATATATCCACCAAATGATCCAAATCGTGTTGTGATTGTATTTATACGAGCAGTACGTTCATGGTTGAAGAGAGCGCAGGTCTTACATTAAACATTATACTACCTCTACTACTTCGGATCCAGACACAATGCGTACCTGACAACGACCCCTGTGGTCGTGTCTCTTCCCTCCTCCTTTCAAGCCATGCACTACCCACTTCATTTTCTTCCTTTCAAGTCATATCCTCATCTCTCTCTCTCTCTCTCTCTCTCGCTTTTCAATTTCATGCCTGTTTCCAAGTAATATATTAATGGTGCTCAGAATATTAATTAATTAATCATAATAAACAGGGACCATCATGCCAGTAACTTGAATTTACGTGAATGGTAGAAATATCAAACCTTTATGTATAGAGAACAAATCTAATTGAAAGGGGCCTGCTATTTTTTTTCTCAATAAAAGGGATTTGTTTTTTGCTGCTCAACTGCAGAAGATACTTTTGGTCCATAAGATCTGCTCGAAAGTAAGAGAAAAAGATCATGGGCGGGCATGGATGAAAAATTAGTGTTATTTAAATAAATGATTAGAGTGAAAAGTTGAATTCATTACTTGAAGGTTGAAGTTGAAATGTGAGGGAGAAAGAGAGGGTGAGGCAGAAAACCATGAAATGGACATGAAAGGAGAATCTGATGGAGCTAATTGGATGAGGATGCAAGATGATGATGATGATAATTACAAGCAGCTGCATTATTAGTCAGCATCGATCTTTTGAGGTAGTGGATGTTGATATAAACCCACAAACAGCATGAAACCTGAAAGCAACAATAATAAATTATATGATGAATAGCGTATTGTCCATCATCCCACTATACATCTCTCCATTCACAAACATCCAACCCACTAGAAGTCCTCGTCACATAAAATAAGAAGATCATCATGCATAATCTTAAGGGACCAA